CATGCCCACACGGCTATGGCTACACTTCGCATTATAAGTAGGAAGCACATGCCGGCAGGAACACCTAGAACAACAAAGCTCGAGAGAATGCGATTTGCATGAGTTGTGGCGAATTATCATAAAAACAATAATTCAACATTTTATATAGCCAGAATTTAACTTTTAAAAAGCCGCCAAAGGTCGAGGGAGGAGTTAACCCTGTAATTTTTGTCGAAGTTAAGTTTGGTTTTCGAACGTCATAAATTCAGGTCAATTATTGGCACAACGCCTAGAAGCAGATTAGCGATTCATATGTATTAAGAGAACTAATTATTCTACTTTATTCCAGTTTTACATTTTTATAGTTCTTAAAAATCTCATCAACTTTACCAACCGCCCATAGCTGGAGACATCATTTGATAGATACTGAACGGAGAAGCTGATGTAAATTGTCCCATGGCGATTTCCAAATACAACATTGGGATAGCTGCCAATAGGTAGCACACAGCGAATTGAATAAGGAATACAATGCCTGAAAGCCATATTTGTCTCCGGAATGGAATAATTAACGCCAGAATATGCTAAAATTTTATTACTGAAATAAATCTGAAAAGACTCTAATAATTGGAAGTCTAACGCAAGGCCATGCTGCTGAGCTACTACCATTGAACATGACCATTAACTATTTCGCTTATCTTTGCTGGTAGCTCCTGATTTAGAATCCTACTTCTCGACATTGGCTTTACAAATCACTTCAGAGAGTAAAATAATCAGCTTGTTCACGTCATTGTTAATCCCAATATTGTCTGACCGCTATCGCTGTTGTTTCAACGTTTTACACAGTCGCTCACTGTCTCCTCTTCCAAGATTTCACTTCACACAAAAGGAAGAAGAACCGCAATCAATCTAAGAGCTACTCGAAATAGGATGCTTCCATTAAAGTTTTCGGCTTTTCAAAGAATGCTGTGTCGACAACATCAAAAGAATGTCAATGACTCGTGCAACACCTCCACGACAGTGTTAGAAAAGATGAGAGATTCAGAAATACAGTAGGGCCTTCCCTGGATACCCTCGAGTTTTTATGCCATTGTGCGCAAGATGTAAGAGTCGGAAAAGTTGTCAAGCTTGCAAAGCTTGGCAAAGATAACAAAAGAGAAGACTTTAGGAGGAGAAGAGCAGTGGTAGTGGTTGTTGCCGCAGATGCTGGAAAGTGCTCCGAACGCCACTGAA